CAGGCTTTTGAAAATTGAGATGTGCATTAAATTAAATGGTAAATTAGAATTGAGTAAAAATGATACATCCAATCCCGGGACTTTGGACTCAAACAATGATAGATCTGGGTTGTTGTAGGTTTTTTCGGGCTATATGGCCATGTTCTAGAGGCATTTTCTCCTGACATTTCACCTGCATCTATGGCAAGCATCCTCAGAGGTAGTGAGGTCTGTTGGAACTAGGAAAAATGGGTTTATATATCTGTGGAATGACCAGGGTGGGACAAAGGACTCTTGTCTGCTGGAGCTAGGTGTGAATGTTTCAAGTGACCACCTTGATTAGCATTTGATAGCCTGTTTAGCTGGCATCACGCCACCTAACATCCGCTGGGAAGTAGCTTACTTACTTACTTACATAGGCGATCCCTTACAGAGGTGAATGGTGTCTTCTATTGATGTGACAATACGGATGGCGCAGCTATGCACTGGTGAAAAGGCACACTTTGGATGCACACTGGGCACTTGTGCAAATGTGGAACAGTGAGCTCTCCCTCGTGCAACAGAGTCCTTTGCACAACAGTCACTCCAGCACCAAATGGATGCCTGTCTATTTCAATGTCATGCAGCCCCATTTGCAAAACTGCTTCATACAATTTTGCATGCACTGAAGTCTATCCATCTGTCTTTCACAAAGTGTGTATGTTTGTCTGTTTGCTTGCACCACAAAGGCTGTGGCTAGGTGAAGTGGACCTCTGTGATATCGCTAGGAAATAAATGCAATATGGGTTGTTGTAGGTTTTTTCGGGCTATATGGCCATGTTCTAGAGGCATTCTCTCCTGACGTTTCACCTGCATCTATGGCAAGCATCCTCAGAGGTAGTGAGGTCTGTTGGAACTAGGAAAAACGGTTTATATATCTGTGGAATGACCAGGGTGGGACAAAGGACTCTTGTCTGCTGGAGCTAGGTGTGAATGTTTCAACTGACCACCTTGATTAGCATATAATGGCCTGACAGTGCCTGGAGCAAACTTTTGTTGAGAGGTGATTAGATGTCCTTGTTTGTTTCCTCTCTGTTGTTGTGCTGTTGTAATTTTAGAGTTTTTTAATACTGGTAGCCAGATTTTGTTCATTTTCATGGTCTTCTTCCTTTCTGTTGAAATTGTCCACATGCTTGTGGATTTCAATGGCTTCTCTGTGTAGTCTGACATGGTGGTTGTGAGAGTGGTCCAGCATTTCTGTGTTCTCAAATAATATGCTGTGTCCAGGTTGGTTCATCAGGTGCTCCGCTATGGCTGACTTCTCTGGTTGAAGTAGTCTGCAGTGCCTTTCATGTTCCTTGATTCGTGTTTGGGCAATGCTGCGTTTGGTGGTCCCTATGTAGACTTGTCCACAGCTGCATGATATACGGTAGACTCCTGCAGAGGTGAGAGGATCCCTCTTGTCCTTTGCTGAACGTAGCATTTGTTGGATTTTCTTGGTGGGTCTGTAGATAGTTTGTATGTTGTATTTCCTCATCAGCTTCCCTGGAATAAATTATTATTATTATTATTATTATTATTATTATTATTATTATTAAAGTGGTCCCAGTTTGCCAATACGGATTATTTTGGGCTACAATTCCCAGAATCCCCCTTTCTCCATGGCTACCATACTTAAGAGCAGATATTAATAATAATAATAATAATAATAATAATAATAATAATATATTCGTATCCTGCCTTTTATTGTTGCAGTTGAGACACAAATGTGTTGGCACAAGTTGGCAAAGAATGGCATCTTTTCTAACTTGATGTTGGATGTAACTTCAATTACTGGAAGAATTTCATAGGAAAAGACCTCATGGGCCATCTAGTCCAACCCCCTGCCAAGAAGCAAGAGAATTTCATTTAAAGCACCCCTGACAGATGGCCATCCAGCCTCTGATTAAAAGCCTCCACCACACTTTTGAGAGAGGAATGGTCAGAAAATAATGTGGGGGATTCTTATGGCAAAACACCCCTCTGACTATGTGTTTCGTCCCAACAGCAAAGCTAGACTTTCCAAACTCCGCCAGATTCCTTAACATTTCCTAACCTTTGACCCTGTGGATTTTGTAGGGTTTTCTTTGGCAAGGAAAGAAAACTTCATTGCAGAGTTATTGCTCATGTTCTTTGTTGGCCAGCATTTCAACTGCAGCAAATATATGAGTCCTCTGTAGTAAGTACATGGGCGCCTTAACAAAAGCCAGCAAATCATTTGTTTCAAAGCCAGCCAGGTTGGACAGGCAAAATGCCATTGGGTGGGAAGGACTAATTTTCCAGCTAGAAGAGCCCTTTCCTGGAAGTTTGCAGCAGTTTGCAAACAGAAGTGGTCCAAAGATAGAGAACTGCTGCTATCTAGCGGTTGAATTCAAGAGCACACCAAATATGTAACACAATGTATTGTCGAAGGCTTTCATGGCTGGAATCACTAGGTTCTTGTGGGTTTTTTCGGGCTATAGAGGCCATGTTCTAGAGGCATTTCTCCTGACGTTTCGCCTGCATCTATGGCAAGCATCCTCAGAGGTAGTGAGGTCTGTTGGAATTAGGACAATGGGTTATATATCTGTGGAATGGCTGGGGTGGGGCAAAGAGCTCTTCTCTGCTGGAGCTAGGTGTGAATGTTTCAACTGACCACCTTCATTAGCATTTGAAGGCCTGGCTGAGCCTGGGAAAATCTTTTGTTGAGAGGTGTTAAGACTGTGCCTGGTTGTTTCCTCTCTGCTGTTTTGCTGTTGTAATTTTAGAGTTTTTTTAATACTGGTAGCCAGATTTTGTTCATTTTCATGGTCTCTTCCTTTCTGTCTTGGGCATGAGAGAGAGGACCTTATCGGTGGTGGCCCCCTGGCTCTGGAACTCCCTTCTCAGGGAGATTAGACTAGCACCCACCCTATCCACCTTCCACAAAGATCTAAAGACGTGGATGTTTCACTGTGCTTTTGACTATACAACTCCCCAGATAGCTTGGCTCAAACTAGGAACCAAAATCTTCTCATCACACTTTACTATTGATCTGTAGCCAAAGTTATAATGCTCTATCTTATACTGCCCTCTATCTCTACTGCTGCAATATGACCTATGCATTTTATCCACCAGCCCTATCCTCACAATAGTGTTTGCACCAGTCCGCCCACCCCATGCCCAGAAACTGATTGTTATCGCATAACTTATTGGTTATTGGTTTGATGTTTTGCTTTTATATTTTGGTAACACAATGTTTGTTCCTGGGTTATATATAAATGCCATTTCTTAATTGGTTCTATCATTAAAACATGGAGAAAGTTTATCAAACTGCAAAAACTTTGTTTTCGCGGGACAGACATCCTGAAGTACATTTTGCTCTAGTTTTCCAATGAATATCTCATCGAATCTCAACCTAGTTTGTGTCAGCCACAAAAAACAAGTTTCTGGAGTAGAACAACTACTTCCAAAGTAAGTACCGCACAATTAAATAGGAAATAACATTTTCAAACCAGGGACAGAAAAGTTTTCAATTTTTGTTCACCATGCAACCAGAGAGCCCCGTGAACCCAACCAACAATATATCCTGACTAAAGTTGGCACACATATTCAACATGGCCAACTTTAAATGTTGGTTTGTTGTTGTTGTTGTTGTTGTTGTTTTGTCGTGTCAGGAGCGACTTGAGAAACTGCAAGTCACTTCTGGTGTGAGAAAATTGGCCGTCTGCAAGGACATTGCCCAGGGGACGCCCTGATGTTTTGATATTTTTATCATCCTTGTGGGAGGCTTCTCTCATGTCCCCGCATGAGGAGCTGGAGCTGATAGAGGGAGCTCACCCACCTCTCCCCGGATTTGAACTTGTCAGTTTTCAGTCCTGCCGGCACAGGGGTTTAACCCACTGCACCACTGGTAGTGAGGTTTGAAGGTAACTGATCTTGAATGTTGGGGATTGTGGCTTGATAATTCTGTCAAACTAATAAATTCCAGTTCCGACAATGTGGTGTTGCTTTTGGGGGGGGGGGGGGCGCAAGGCTTTATGCCATTGAGAAAGCAGTGTGAAGATGGTCTTCTAAGATGGGACTCAGGAGGCCAGCTATCTTCCCATGAAGATCTTAAGTTGTGAGACCAAACAAGGCTAAACCTCAATATGCATGGATGCGTGCTTCATGTCGAAGCAGCAGTGACTCCCGAAGGCCATCCATTCCAACACACTTCTGTCAGGAAGGACACCATCCAAACCCTCCTGACATGGTGCAAAGGAAGAGCAGACAAACCGATAGGTAGAGAAAAAGAGAGAGAGGTTTGCAGGAAGGTGCATATGAAAGCTGACTGGCACAACCTGGGGATCACAACCAGATACAGTGAAGACATCTGCCTTCGCTATGCTACTCTGCTGCTGAGTATGCATGCCCAGTGTGGAACACATCTCACCACACTAAAACAGTGGATGTGGCTCTTAATGAGACATGCCGCATTATCACAGGGTGTCTGCGCCCTACACCACTGGAAAAATTACACTGTCTAGCCGGTATTGCACCACCTGACATCCGCCGGGAAGTAGCAGCCAATAGTGAAAGGACCAAGGCTGTGACATCTCCGGCCCACCCTCTGTTTGGGTATCAGCCTGCACGCCATTGCCTTAAATCAAGAAATAGTTTTCTAAGATCTACAGAGTCACTTGCTGGAACACCTCAGCAAGCGATAGTCCAAAAGTGGCAGGCTCAAACCCAGAACCTCAATCAATGGCTGGTATCAAATGAGAGACTCCCCCTGGGCACACAGAAGACTGGGTGACTTGGAAGGCGCTGAATAGACTGCGCTCTGGCACCACGAGATGCAGAGCCAGCCATAAGAAATGGGGCCACAAAGTGGAATCCACGAGATGCGAGTGTGGAGAGGAGCAAACAACTGACCACCTGCTGCAATGCAACCTGAGCCCTGCCACATGCACAATGGAGGACCTTCTTGCAGCAACACCAGAGGCACTCCCAGTGGCCAGATACTGGTCAAAGGACATTTAATAGAATACCAAGTCTGCAAACTTTGTCTTTTTTTTTTAATGCAATACAACTGTTTTGGTTCACTCCTGACACAATAAATAAGGTAGGTGCTATATTTGGGCTGTTATCTTATCGCATTTGCAAATTTTGCTGGAAATTGGGTCCAAAACCAGCCCGAGTCCATGGACTTGAATCAGTTTCATAACTCGAACTCCATAGACACAAAGTAGGGGGTCCTTTCCATCCATTGCATGAAAGAAAGGGCTAAGGAGTCCTTGCCTCCATCCTTCTGCTCCGAGGATGGAGAAGTCTTTCCACTCTGCTCTCCAGACCAAAGAAGACAAACAGCTCGATCGGGAGGCTGGAACAGGGCTGTCTCCCCAACAAATGGGGCCACCTTAGGGCAGCGTGACCATCCGACTTGTGCTGCGTGTGGCGGGGAAGCGGCGTTTGCCCCTCAGTCCAGAGAAGCGTTCGTTTAACATCAAGCTGGTCTATGACGGAAGAGCATAAATACAACATTAGCCTGCAATCCTAACTCAACACAGAATGACTTTTAAGGTCTAAAGGAGTTGCCTTCCACTCATATCAAATTTACAACAAACCTATTGCAGGGTGCTCTGAGGCTGAGAGAGTGTGGCTTGTTCCAATGGGTTTGGGGTGGAGATTCGAACCCTGCTCTCCAAAGGCATTTATTTATTTGTTTGTTTGTTTGCCGCTCTTCTCACCCCGAAGGGGACTCAGAGCAGCTTACAAGATATATATACATACAATCTATATAAATAAAAATGTAATGTTTGTTTGTGGGATTAACAGAACTCAAAAACCACTGGACGAATTGACACCAAATTTGGACACAAGACACCTAACAACTCAATGTATGTCCTTCACTCAAAAAAATTGATTTTGTCATTTGGGAGTTGTAGTTGCTGGGATTTATAGTTCACCTACAATCAAAACACATTCTGAACTCCACCAGCTTGGCACACATATACTGAGCCATGATCGAGGCTCTCTTCAATTTCACTATGGGACTATAGTGGGAGGGTAAGTGGGTATGTTTTCTGCACTATGATTTCTATATTTCTCCCTGTGTATCTGACTTTTGCCTGACCCTTCTGCCCTATTCCCTTTTATAAGAAATGCATAAAAATATAAGAAGCCACCCTTAGTGACCCTGGGAAAGAGGAAATCTCCTGTTTGAAAAGAATCTTATTAAGAGACATATTTGCATGGACAATACAATAAGCAGCGACCCTGGGGCTCGGAGTATGTCCCCCCAGAGGGAGATGCCCACTTGGCATAGATGATCACATCTCAACAGGACAAAGGGCCTTCAGAAAGTCACAATTTGTCCTGATCTGTTCTCTCAGTTATCTTCCATCCACCGAAACTACAACCAGGATTACCCCATTGTCTCCATATCTCAGTTCAAGAAAAATCTGGATTCTGGCCATCTTGCCAGACATCAACGTTGATTGCCACCCCTCAAGACAATAAACTGGATGGCTAGAAGGCCCCTGAGGACTCGCCAGCCACATATTTCCATAATCCACTCAAGAATTCATTGTTTCCCTCTCGTCCCACCTCCCTCTCTCCTGATTGGCCAGAAGTGGCTTGAGCTCACCCACTGGTTAAGGCGCCTCCCAGCTGTAGAGCACCAACCAATCAGACAGCTTTGTATATGTATAAAAAGGTTTTATTTTGTGTTCAATGAATGTCTGCTTGACGAATGATCACGGTATGACATCCTTTCCAGCTGGATCGCAATAAATATCTCTGTGGCTTCTGCTTCAACTTGGTGAGATTTATTTTGCAATATTGGCTTCTCTTTTCTCACCAGGCAACTCACAATGGCTTGGGCTTAATCCATAACCATTCTAAATTGCTCTTCAACGAAATTACCTGGTTAGCCATGGCACGGAAGTTGAACCTCAAGGGAACCCCTTTTGGCTGGTGAAGGGCCACCTTGGCGGCAGTGCTTCTCTCTCTTCGGAAAGGACGTTTCCCTCCTGGCCTATCATGTACAAAATGAGGAAATTGTCCCATTGAAGAAACACACATTGATTCCTTTTCTCCATATTTTCCTTCCCAGAGCTTGGAAGCATGGACTTCATCTTCCATTCTCTTCCTGAGAGTATGGCTAGTGGGAAGATTCTGGAAAACTGCAATCCTTATTACTACTATTATTACTATATCATCATCATCATCATCACCATCATCATCATCATCCTCTTCATCATCATCTCCATCAGCACCACCATCATCACCATCTTTATTTACATCCCACTTCTCTCTCTTAATGAAGATTTAAAGCAGCTCAGCACATTAACAGACAGCGCAATTCAAAATCGACAACATGCAAATATAGTTTTTACATTGATTTTTACATTGTCCTATCTTCCAGTGTTTTAAAATTTTTATTTTTAAATTTGGCCCTGCCCAGTGTGATCATTGTGTTTTAATGTTTGATTTTATGCTGCTGTGTCGCTTACTTATATTGGTTTTGCATTTATGTAATTTATTTTTCTGATTTTCTGTTGTGTTCTTGTGTTTATATTGTGTTTACTATATTGATGGGCGTGGCCTCATGTAGGCCGCCCTGAGTTCCTTTGGGGGGTATAAATAAAGTTTTATTATTATTATTATTATTATTATTATTATTATTATTATTATTATTATTGTTGTTGTTTATTGGCACAATTTTTAATGTTTTTCAAAGTAATGTTAATTGATATTTGCTTAATTTTGTATTAACATTTATATGTTTCTGGATTTTAAATGATACTGTTCTTTTTTTGAACACTATGAGCTATGTTGTGGGATAGAAATAATAATATTAATAATAATAATAATACAGAATTCAATGGTCGAATGACAACAACAACAACAACAACATAGAATTCAGAAGTGGGATAGAAATAATAATATTAATATATAATTTTACAGTGAGATAGAAGAAATAATAACAATAATATAGAATCCAACAGTGGGATTGGATTTTGGTCAGCAGTGCTGGCCGAACTGCTGACCAAAAGGTCGGCAGTTCAAATCCAGAGAGTGGGGTGAGCTCCCGTCTGTCAGCTCCAGCATCTCACGAGCGCAGGCATGAGAGAAGCCTCACACAGGATGGTATCCTTTGGGCAAAATCCTTGCAGATGGCCTGAAGTAACTTGCAGTTTTTCAAGTCGCTCCTGACACCAACACACACACACACACAAAGCTCTACATTAACTGCCTGGTTCAATGCTATGGAATCCTGGGAGTTGTAGCTTTACATAGTCTGCGAAAGAGTGGCAAGCTATACATCCCAGGATTCCACAGCATTTAGCCAGGGTAGTGAAAACAGTGCAAATCTTCATTTATTCTGCAGTGTAGATGCACGCTGAGTGACAGAAATGGCAAGATAAATACAACAATAATAATCTGGTTTGTGTGTGTGTGTGTGTGTCAGGAGCAACTTGAGAAACTGCAAGTCTCTTCTGGTGTGAGAAAATTGGCTGTCTGCAAGGACATTGCCCAAGGGACGCCAAATGTTTTGATGTTTTACTATCCTTGTGGGAGACTTCTCTCATGTCCCCTTATGGGGAGCTGGAGCTGACAGAGGGAGCTCATCTGCGCTCTCCCCGGATTCAAACCTACAACCTGTGGGTCTTCAGTCCTGCTGGCACAAGGGTTTAACCCATTGCGCCACCGGGGGCTCCAACAGTAATAGCTAAAACTACTGAAATAAAGGCTATATTCTGCTGCACTTACGCATTTGCTTGACTCGCTTGCGGATTGGACACAGACACGGTCAGGACTGCACCGGAATTGGATCGCATTTGCCACCTGCTGCAAGAACAGAGTTTTGCTTTTGTCAACTGATTTATATTTCTGGACCAGAAAGGGGTTTTTTCCTGTGCCACACTTCCCTTTACCTTCTGATCCTCGGTGGTTTTCCTTCTGCTTTTGGCTGCATTTGCTGCAATAAGAAAGGAGACACATGTCAATCTAAAAAAGCAAAATTCTGACGACTGATTCCTTAGAAGCTTCCATCAGTAAGTAAGATGAAAAAAGGGGGCAGACATTTATAATTTTTGGACTACAGATCCCCCAATTCCCAGCCAAGGGGGATTCTGGAAGTTTTAGTCTGGCTGCTTCCTGTCTGGGGGGAATCCTTTGTTGGGAGGTGTTAGGTGGCCCTGATTGTTTCAATAAAGTAGTCCAAAACTTCAATTTTCAGGTTTGGATGAAGTCAAAGCTTTCTAGATTGCTCTGAAAAAGATTTATCATAGGCTTTGGAAACTTCATGCTTTACAAGAGAAAAAACATGGCTGAAATGACCTGTTTCCTTTTAGAAGAAACTATAACAGGCCTGGAAAACTTTCTAACTTGGGGGCCGCATTGCTAGGGCAGGACTAGCTACCCAGTGATGGAAGGAAGGAAAGAGAGAAGGAAGGAAGGATGAAAGGGAGGACGGGAAGGACAGAAGGAGAAAAAGGGAGCCAGTGAAGGAGGGAGGAAAGAGGAAAAGAAGGAAAGATAAAAGGAAAGGAAGGAAAGAAAGGAAGGAAGGAAGGGAAGGAGGAAAGGAAGGAAAGAAAGGAAGGAAAGAAAGAAAGAAAGAAAAGAAAGGAAGGAAAGGAAGGAAGAAATGAAAGAAAAGAAAGGAAGGAATGAAAGGAAGGAAGGGAAGGAAGAAATGAAGGAAAGAAGAGAAAGGAAGGAAGGAAAGAAAGAAAAGAAAAGAAGGAAGGAAAGGAAGGAAGAAATGAAAGAAACGAGGAAAGAGTGGAATAGAAGAATGGAAGGAAAAAGAGAAGGGAGGAAGGAAGGGAGGGATAAAGGAAAGAGAAGAAAAGAAAGACAAAGGGAGGGGGAGGAAGGAGATATAGGGAGAGAGGGAAGGAAGGACAAAAGGATGGAATGTAAGAATGGAAGGAAAAAGTGAAGGAAGGAAGGGAGGAGAAGGATGGATGGAAGGGAAGGATAAAGGAAAGAGAAGGAAAGAAAGACAAAGGGGAAGGAAGGAAGGAAGGAAGGAAGGAAGGAAGGAAGGAAGGAAGGAAGGAAGGAAGGAGAGAGGGAAGGATGTAACCAAAGAGCAAAGAAAGGGAGGAAAGAAACAGAATGAATTTAAAAAATGAATAAGGTTTTTAAATTAATCAGACAGCCATATTAAAACATCATGTCCTGAGTTGCCCTTCACAAAACAGCCCTTAGACAATTTTGAAAGTAAAAGAAAAATGCTTTACTCCAGCAAACACAAAGGATTAGCAAATGCAATTGAAAAGTGCACAAGAAAACAAGACAGTCTTAATCCAGACACAAATTTAAGTCTCTTACAAAGTCACAAAAGAAACACCAGTCTTCCATCAGACAACGGGCAATGAACTAAGTCCTTAGCAGCAGACACAAAACAGATTCCGTTGGAGTGAAAACAGCAGTATCAGGGTCGTTACCATGAAAGCTGACTGCTCCTGCTTCTAATTTATAGCCCTGAATTCCCCATGCAGGAGGTGCTAGGGCGTCTCCCAATTAGCTCAACGTTTATAGCAGCTATTCTGGCTGAACGCCGTCTGTGCTCTGTCTCTTTTTGTCTCTCTAGAAATGTGGGCACTTTCAAATCCTCATCGCCCAACTATCATGAAAAAAAACACACACACTGACCCTTTGTCCAAAGCTGAATCTCGATTGCCGCCGGAAGAAAGGAGGGCCTGGGTTTTTCCAGAAAGGCCGGTTACTGTAGAAACAGAAAAAGAATCCTCTATGTATTATCGAAAAATTGATGGACTAAACATGAATTCTGAAATTATATATGCATTTTATTTGATTTTTACATTTTATAAGTGTTTCCTCCACCACAGACATCCCAGTGTTTTTTACTCCCTCCATTGGTGTGGAGCTTGCATGATTTTGCCCACTGCCTCTCCTTTAACCCTTTCCTACCCTTTTCAACAACAGAACTAATCAGCAACTAAACATACTGGAGGAGTTTGGGGGACTGACTCCACATGATGGAAGTTGTAGTTCACCCTGCATCAAGTCAGAGCACTGTGACCCCCACTGACAATGGACCTGGACCACATTTGGCACACAGAACCCCCATGACCAACAAAATACTGGAGAGGTTTGGGGGGAAATTTACCTTGATTTATAGCCGTTGGACGTACTGGGATTTATAGTTCACCTGCAATCAAAGAGCACTCCGGACCCCACCAATGATGGCCCTGGACCTCACTTGGTACACAAATAACAAAAAATACGAAAGGGTCTTGGGGAAATTCACCTTAATTTGTAGGAATTATAGTTCACTTACATCCAGAGAGCACTGTGAATGCAAACACTGATGGATCTGCACCGAATTTGGTATGCTTACCCGCTATGCCAAAATTTGAATATAGTGGGTTTTGTGGGGAATTGGCATTGGCATTGGTTACTTGTAGGTACTGGGATTTATAGTTCACTTGCAATCAGAGAGCACTCTGCACCCCACTGATGATAGACCTGGACTTAACTTGGTAAACAGAACCTCCATGACCAACAACATACTGGAGGGATTTGACAGAGCGAACCCACCATGGTGGGAATTGTAATTCATCCTGTAGCCAGAGAGCATACTGACGCAGGGGCGGCTCAACCCATTACGCAAAGTAAGCATTTGCAGTATAGTTGATTTTGCCCAGGGGCGCTCTTGAGGCGCTCTTGGGGGAAAATAGACCTTGACATATGTGAGTTGTAGTTACTGGGATGTATAGTTCACCTACAATCAAAGAGCATTCTGAACTCCACCAATGATGGAATTGAACCAAATATGGCACACAGAACTCCCACGACGAACAGAAAATATATATCAGTGATTGGTTGGGGGGGGGGCACCAAAATACTGTTGGCTTACCGTTGAAAATTACCTAGGGCTGCCTCTGACCCCATCAATTATGCATCTAGAGCAAACTTGCCCAACATGACAAACTTCAAGTATTTATGGAGTTTCAGGGGGTTAACCTGGCATGATGTGAGTTATAGTACACCCACAATCGTATGCATTTTGTAAAATAAAAACATGAGTTCTTATTTATTTATTTATTTATTTATTTATTTCTTGCACTTATAGACCGCCACTCTCAGCCCAGGGGCGACTCGTGGCGGTGTACAACAACATAGAAAAGACAGCTTACAATAAATCAACAATACACAACGTTCTACTACTACAAACACTACTATACTAAAAATCCGCTTCGTCAAATCATAGGGTCAATCCATCTCATAATCACAGTCCATTCCGGTCGTTATAATAGTATTATAATAACCTGGGCAACACGGGTACCCAAGCTAGTCATTCATAAAACACACATGATCGACTTCATAACAAGGCTAAAGTCCTTGTCAAACTACAACTCCCAGGATTGTATAGCATTGAGCCATGGCATCTAAAATGGCGCCAAACTGTTTTAACTCTAGAGTGTAGATGCACCCCAAGATGGTTAGGTTATAATGAGGAATGCACATCTGAAAAGTAGAACCAAAGAGGCAGATTGATGTGCCAAATGGCCTTTGTCTTTACCTTTGGTGAAATGGCAAAGCTCTTGCATTTTGGAAACGCTGGGCTCTGATGGGTGGTGGGCGCTGTGGTCCCACTGCTGTCACTCCATTGTTGACGCCATCCGTAGTCATGGAGGCTTCATCTTGTTTGCCCTAGAAATTAAGTATATTCTTCAACTCATTCATAAAATCATAAAATTAGAAGGGAATCTCAAGGCCATCTAGTCCAACCCCATTGTGTTGTGCAGGAAGACACAACCCAAGCTCTCCCGACATTCATAGAACTATAGAATCATAGCATCATAGACCTGGAAAGGATTCTAAAGGCCATCCAGTCCAACCCACTTTTGCTGTGCAGGA